GGGGTTTAAAATCATTACAATGATAGGATAAGTCCAGTATATGTCTCTAGAGAGAAATCTGTAATTTCACAACGTTTTAGAGATGAAATTCACAAAAAAATATGACATCCAAAAAAAAAAAAGAAAAGAAAAAGAAAGATGATGAAAACACAAATGTACTCTTAAAGGGATGGTTCACCCAAAAATGAAAATTCTATCATTAATTACTACATAGATATTTTTGATGCTTTTTTTTTTTTTGCGTACAAAGTTTTCTTGTAGCTTCATAAAATTATGGTTGAACCCCTGATGTCACATGGATTATTTTACCGATCTCCTTGCTACGTCTCTGGACCTTGATCGTGTAAGGACACTTGCTGTCTATATATGGGAGGGTCAGAGAGCTCACGGGATGCATCAAAAATATCTTAATTTGTGTTCCGAAGATGAACAGAGGTCTTACGGGTTTGGAACGACATGAGGGTGAGTAATTAATGACAGAATTTAAATTTTTGGGTGAACTATCCCTTTAATAGACACTTCTTACATTTTCAAGGTTCTCAGACGTGGAAGTTGTCATAGTTGGGTAAACTTTTACAGTGGTGAAAAGAATTTCTTTTTTTGCTTTTTTTGCCAATCATTACAATGATTGGAGCAGTTCAGTATGTCACTACAGAGAAAACTGTCATTTCAGAATGTTTTAAAGATCAAATTCACTACAAAATATGACAAACAAAAAAAAGAAAGATGATGAAAACAAAAATGTACTCTTCAAAATAGACACTTCTTACATTTTCAAGGTTCTCGGAAGCGGAAGTTGTCATAGTTGGGTACATGTTTACAGTGGTGAACAGAAACTATAACAATTTTTTTTTTTTTATTCCCATTTGCTCAAATAACAAAAGAAAAAAAATCCACTTTAGCATTTCCAATACTTTCAAAAAGAGGGAAAAAAATCTCAGAAATGTATTACGTTCATCAAATGTGAGAAAGATGTCAAATTTGCCCTCAGCTACTGTAACATTCTTAGAAACATTCATGCAGCAGCGTTGCCTAGTTTGTATTGTTTTATATTAATTTCTTTGTGCAATTTAATGCCAAAGTAAGTGAACACAAAACAGTGTTATAAATGTACATTACACTTTTTAAAAATGAAACTATAAAAACCTTTGCTAGATTTTCAAAAGTTAATAATAGTGGAAACTTGTCACAGTCTGTGAAAATAGTCCATAAGATAGCCTACATAACAAAGAGAAAATGAATACTCATTTCACCTTAAATCACTGTAATAATGACCACTTTAATAATATCAATGATTATACTGAATTATATCCAACATTAGATCAAAATAAGACACATTTCATATTGAGCCTTACCAATGGAGGTACATAAAACAAAAACAGGTCGTGAAGCATTTATTTGAATGATTGAGAATGAGTAATATTGCAGAGTTTAAGTGCCACTGTTCAACCCAGGCCAACAAAATTCTTCTGCACTGAGTCACCGGCTTCAAATCTCTAAAGATCCTGACGTCTGGATAACATGACCACGGAGCTACCTAACGAGCTAGGCTATCAAATATAACACTTTAATTTTCTTAAAAGTTGGTTGTTGTTTCATTTAATAGCCCCTTTAAACATAACCACACGTTTGACAGCATACCTGACACAGTAACCTGACCGCTCACGGCATGTTTGACACAAACTCGTTCTTCATTTGAATGAAAATTGAGCTATTCAAACCAGACTTTAAATGTTTAGCGGACTTTCGGGGCTGTGGTTGAGGAGGTAAACAATCACAACACTGTTAAAGCGGGATTGTTTGCCACGTCAAGCTGTTCTTTCATTAGGTTTTTTTCCCCAAAGCGAGAAGCGCAGGTGTTCACCTGGCGATGCACCTGCGCTATGCTATGTGCGAAACTCAATGGGTTACGAAATCTCTCGGGGCGAAGCGCTCATTTTCAGCGAAAACTAATGAAAAATACTCTCATTACGCGGGCTAGACAATAATCCTTCGGGCAGACTTTAATCCATCTTCAGAGAAGAGAAGACCACTTAAGAAAAACACAAAATATTACTAGGCTATACCTCAGTAAGCGAGCGAAACAAGTGTCACTCCCAGTGGAAGAAAGTAGAGCTCGAGCCTGAGTTGGAGCATCTGCTCGACAAACAACTTAGAATCAATTTCTAGTCACAGGCTAACAGGTTTAGCGAGACAAAATTAACATTTAACGTACCTGATGTTAAGGCAAAGTTTATATTTCACTCTGCTGAATGTTCCTCTGTTTCCTCCTGTGGTTCTCCTACATGAGAACTAATAGCGTAAAAGTAAAGAAGGTCTCTTTAAATGTGACAGCTCTAACTAATAAACCCAAGGGAAAACATTTGCTAACGACAACCTGTTACCTTTCAGACCGATACCACATGCCCTGCCCACTTTGCGCGTGAGGATAATCTCATTGGCTGATAGTGGCGTCGTGGGCGGAACGCGTGAAACCATTTCTGTTTCGTTATTGGTGAGCTTGTGTGTCAATCACAATTAAATCTGGAACTAGTTTGTCTGTCGATCAGTGAAATGTAAATATAATGATATGATTTAAAGACAGGAAAGTTTTGTCACTAAATTGATACAGTGGGCTTAAACTTCTACGCTCTACGTTCATGTAGGCTAACTGCTTGTTGCGCAATTCGATAGGCCCTATGTATCCAAATAGAGCTGTGAATGTTATTTATACTGACGTGGTCTTGTAGATAGACTATATAGAAACGATCAAATTTGATATATCGATGAGAAATTCCGGTGCAAAACAGGGTTTGGATGTATCATAAAAATATATGATTTTGTAAATAAAATGCATTAAAATCAGAATGGAGAAACACGCATCATATAAAGTAGCCTACAATCAAAAATAGAGCAGAATCTGAGTGCAACTGGTTATACTAGTTAGTTGGTCCGCCGATGAGTGTAAATGTCCCGTGTGTAGCCTACTGTCTTGTAATTCAGTAGCATCTGGATTTCATTTTCCTTTGATCTTTTTCAATAACTGGAAAAACAGGTTCAGATGCTTTACAATACATTTTACAAGACGTTCCACGATGAGCTAAGATAACTGAGTGTTCATAAACTCTTGAAAATACTGTTACTCTTCACCGTGGTAACCACCAGTAGTCACGTGTGGGCAGAGTATCAAGTAGGCCCATTCAACTTCCAGTATTTTGAGTAATTTATCTTTTCAAAACAATGCAAAAAATAAAGTCGGTCTCAATTAGATCAATTTTAAAACTTAAAAATCTAGTTTTCAAGCAGATAAGTGTAATGTGTCTTATTAATTAAATGAAAGCATAATTATATAATTAATGTTTACGTCTAATCGATGAATTATGGATTTTTTTTAATCAGCCACTAGATGGAGGCAGTATAAATAACTTTAAATTGCCCATGTGTCTGGGCCTAACTTGGGCCAGTTACCCGGTGTAAACTGCTGCCCCTCTGTGGTAGTGTCTTGCACAATAGGCCTAATTTTTCAGCATTTAGATGTTTATAGTTTATTTTTTATTAATTATCAATTATCAAACTAATTATCAATTAAGAGCAAAATCATATTTAAATATTTGTTACATTTTATTTTATTATTGTTTTTGTTGCTTTTTCATGATTATTTTTAACATAATTTATTTCAAATTTACTGTTTAAATTAAGCTAAAAAAAAGTCTATAGGCCTATTATTTACAGATGACAACTTACTCCATGTGATCACATGTCCCGGTATTAGGGCAACATGTGTTCAATGATCTTTATTTCGTGGCCAACAACAGTGGAAATGTCAAATAGTTGTTTATTATAGTTGTATATTTATTTATTTACTTGCTTAACCAGAAATGGACCTTTACTGGATTAGCCTGGAGTACAACGATGGAAATGTCAATTTATTTATTTATTTGCCTTTACCAGAAATTGACCTTCACTGACTGGAGTAAAATAGCCTACTCACTGGAGTAAAGAGTGTGTCGAGTAAATGTAAACATTTGATAAAAACTGAAAATGTAGTTACTGAGTAGACTATATGAAGTAGGTTTGCATCTACAGGTGGGTAGCGCCCAGCAAATGAAAAGTTCCCATTTAGGGGAAGAGTAGCTGCCTACAGAGGCACAGAATCACCCCCACCCACAGCTGCAGCACAGACGCACGTACATGTACATCCACTTCACTTCATTTAGACTGTCGCTTGGAGTGGATATACCGGGAATGGGATCTTCAGCGAGAGCTAAGAAAAACTTTCAATTTTTCCGCGTTTATGCCCTTCAGAGACTCCTCTTTATCTTGCGGGAATAGTTGGGAGCAAACAAAGACAAGACATTATATTCCAATGTGAAGAATCGTAGTATAGTTGTGAGTGTAAGAAGTTTCCTGAAAAGAAATACGAATGGGATAAATTCTGTAAACAAGATTACATAGCCTAAAAGGAATTTTAATATTCGGAACCTTTCCCTAAATCAATTTGACAGATTTTCCAAATTAGCCTAAATAAATAAATTTAAACAATTTCAAATAATTATTTTTTTCCTTTTTTTAAAGCAAAACAAACAACCTTGCACTGAACAGCCTGAACCTGAACGGCGCGTTAAAGTGTTGTTAATTTTGGCAAAAATCAATTAAAGGGCCATAGTCAGTGATATTGTAGAAGCCGATTATTCCTAAAGGAGTTGAGCGTGTGTATGGAGAGAGGCGCGGACACCTGTGCGTATTCACCATGGCGAAGTGGTTTAAAGATTTCCCAACTAGTTTGAAGACTGGATCCGACCGCATCCGTTCTGCTTCGGAATCGGGAACTCAGTCCCGTCCCAAACCGGTTCTGACTATCGGTACTGGTTCGAAGGGGAGTCTGCGTAAAAATGCTGGAGCGGAAAACGGTGGCAGTGGTGGAGGTGGTGTGGGTTCGCTTCTTCACGGGAGAAATCGTAAAAATTCGGCCATCGAGCTGGGACGGAACCACTCCAGCACCGGCTCACTAAAAGACGGGAAGATATGGGAAATTCTGATCCCTGGGAAAAGTAAGAAACACACCAAAATGGAGGGATTTGAAGACCATCGCACCTTGCGGACCACCAGTCTTGCTGACGCGTACATGAGCAGAATGATCAAGGTTAATGATCCAAAATCCAGTGCAGGAGGATCATCTCCAGACAGCGAGAGGGCCAAGTCACCAATCAGAACAGAAACGGTAAGTTTGAGAATGAGGCAACACCACTAAACAAGCAATGAATAATAATTATATCATGCACTTTTTTTTCAAGAAAATGTTTGAAGTCATCTCTGGACAAAAAGAAAAATACACTCTTAAAAATGCGTGTTTATATGTGTGTTATAACCATTTATGGTTCCACAAAGAACCTTGAACATCCATGGAACCTTTCAATTTTACAAAATGTTCTTTATAGTGGGAAAGTTTAGACCTTTTAAAATGTTCTTCACACAAAAAAGAACTGCTTTTTAAGAACTGCTCACTGAAAAGTTCTTTAGGGAGACCAAATATTGTTCTTGTATCTGGAATCACTATTCTTTTGCTAGTTTTGGGGTATTATGCACTTTCATGCTGGTCTACTTGCTGATGAACTGAAATAAGACCAGCTCAAACCAACTGGAACCAGCATATAGGCTGGTTTTAGGATGGGTTTTTAGCTGGGATAAAGGAAGAATAGGCCTGATCTGAGTGATAAAGTAGGCCTCAGAGAGGATGTTCTTTTTAGTACATGACATACTGTTGACTGTGAGAACCAAACAAACGTCTTTGTTTTGAAAATTGAGATCAATATCTCTCTTCCAGTTCTTTGTTTAAACAATATCTTCTCCCCTCCCTCAGCCCACTCTTTTCTCTTTCGTATCTTTCTTTCCTCCCTGCCCGCTCTCTCTTTTTCTCCCTATATGCTATTTTCATTGAACTGCTGTATTATAAGCAGACACAGTGGAGCTGAAAAGCAACAAACACAATGAAAGCCCTTTCCTTGCCTCTCTTCCTGTCTCGTTTCCTAGTCATACACACACTCTTCTCTCTGTCTTTGTGGGAAACACACTTTTGTGCTCGCATACACACACACCCTTGCTCACAAATACGCAAAGAATACAATGCATACATAACACAATAGCTCCATCCCATTCTTTCAGTCCCTGGTGAAGGCAGTGTTTGAAGAATTATGTCACTTGATACATAGACTGAAATCCTCTCCCATTTACGGACATCCCCTCTAGCTACACTTTGAACATAATAGCACAGAAATCAGAATCTCATGAGGTCACACACACAAAGAAACAGTGAGTGAAGGGAGAACGATGGAGCTCCAGGCAATGTTTTGTTGACGTTGAACTTTAAATCTGAAGGAATGAATAGGTGCATGAGTACATTGAGTTTGAGATGAAAGTACAATGCACTAAACTGAAAATGCACTGTTATACAATTATGGTTGAGAATAATATAAAATGCTATATATTTTTTTCTTTTCTTCACAGAAAAAGTTGTTTTTCTTTAAAATGTCTATATACAAGATAGGTTTCTATATGTTTTGTGTCGTGTATTAAGGTTTAGTTTTTCCCCTTTTCATATTTTAATGTGTATCTAAATTATTTATAGGTTTAAAAACATTTAAATATTCAGTCTAAATGTAAAATCTAAACTAAACCAAATAGTTAACCAACACACAAAGGCAAATGATTACAGAAAATCGTGAGCTTAAGTTTTAACTGAAAAGTTGATGCAAATGTTTAAATGATCAAATGTTTAGCTTCACATTGCTGCTATATCCTAACAATAAATCCACCCTAACTACTGTAAGTGCCTCATAAAATAGCCTTGATTTCATCTTTTTTGTTGTTGTTGTTGTTGAAAATGATCCTTCAAAAACTGAGTCCTGTTTTTTGTTCTGCTGCCTGTTGCTTATGATTACAAATACTTGTGATTTATCTTGGTATTTGTTGATATACTACAGATTCATCTTTGACTTAATCATAATTTCCTGTGGTTTCACTCACTTGTAAGGTGAGCTCAAAAAAAGAGTTGCTTCATAAAATAAACTTCTACCTAGCTGCTCTTTCAACAGTTATACAGTGATTTGTTAGGAATGTGTCTAATATATGTAGGGGAAAAATCACTTGGTGTATATAAGTGATTGACAACAATGCCATTCGCTTTAAAAACCTTCCAGTGTCATATATTACAATTACTAATTACATTTAATATAGTTTTTAAACAATTATTGCAATATTTAACACATTGGATAAAAAAGGTGAGAGAAAGAGAGAGAGCGCATTAATGTTGACATCTTGTTCTGCATCTTTAGCACATGGGCTATTTACTTGTAAATGAAGCATCTGGATATGCATATTAGGTAGTGATTTCTAAGTAAGGCCATCCTTTTCCACTTTCAGTGAAACAGAGCGATTAATTCAGTCCTGTTTAATGATACATTTGAAAAAGTGGGCAGTGGTTGGCTGCTCAAAAGCAAGGTCAATAACAGAATGTGTTATATTATTATGGTTTGTAAGTATGAGAATCTGTGGAAGCTTGATAAATGTGAGCCTAAATGTGCAGTCACATTTACTTTGGTTCTGCAAATTTTTCACAAAATCTAGTCAATAGGAATCCACATGATCTGGAATTTCACAAGGCTGAAAGATTTCCCCACACAGATTACACAGTTGGTCATGCAAATTTGTATTGACCAACAGAAATCTGCTTATTTTGAAAGTAACTTCTATGTGATCTTCCCTTCATACATCTCTACACTATTGACAATTGAGATTTGATTTTGCTAATGTGACCACACTGTAATTACAGCCCAAGAATAAATAGTTTACTTGGGCAATGTTTCACAAATAACTTTCTAATAATGTTCCTATCCGGTGAAATCTTCTGGAAAGAGTTCTGATCCCGCATGTAAATTTGTGCCTTTACACAGAGATTCGCCGACGAGGCTCGAAGGACTTGTTGAAAGTGTGTGTGGTGTTGAATGGAGGAGAAAGCGAAGGCTCTGGACCCCCTCAGATCTATGATGTCCCATATGAGGAGGTTCTGGAGGGAATCCCCTTGACCCGACCTGAGTCTGACCCCAGACCACCGGCTGAGTATGAGCTGCCCTGGGAGTGGAAGAAGGAACAGATTGTTAGAGCGCTGTCAGGTAACAGCCTTCACAATCATATTAGAAGCAGCTTCTTTATTTAACATTACTGATGCATAGACACAGTATAATGAGGAAAACTATTAAACAGTCATTTAGAAGTCAGTTCATGTTATTGAGGTACTTATGATGTAGCAGTTGCTCAAAACATTTGGGATAGCAGGGTGGGGGTCATTATTGCCAGATGCCATAATAAACACTGTGGTGGTTGATGTTTCTTTCTATATACAGCTCAGTTTGATGGAATAGACCGCATGTCGAAGGAAGAATCAGGTTCTCCTACTGTAAAACAGCAGACACTGAAACATAAGAGCTGGACCCCTAAAACTCTTCGACCGAATCCCCCGTCCCCGACTTCCCCTTCATCTCCCAGCACCACCCCAGACAGTGAGACACCAATAGTTGATCCCACCCTGCCCTTGGAGAAACAGAGGTGTGTGTTTGTGTCTTAAAAACGTGGTGATTTTATCTGGATTACCTGAAACTCAAAGAATGAAATGATGAAAATAAAATTGTAATGAGAATATGTGTGCTAAAATATACAGTATATTAACAGCTATGACATGAAAAACATGATCACCTTGCTACTGTGTATATTAGCACTTACAATAGAGGCCAACTTAACAGTTTACATGTCAGGGACTATATCAAGAAGAAAGTCATCACTTTGTGAATCTTCACAATAACATTATGTTCTAATGAAAATTTGCACTCTAAATGTTTTTATTTTGTAGTATATATTTAAAATTTTATATTTTTGCACAAATAATGTTTTATATTATTTTGTATATAAGATTTGAAATTATTAATTATGTTTTTTATGTTTTTGAAATATTTCTGAAGAAACATGTGACTGCAGTCCATTACAGGAAAAATTACTTCCTTTTTTTCAAGTACAGGAAAAAAATACATTTTAAAATATATTTAACTTGTAATAATATTTTACAATATTACAGTTTTTTACTGTATTTCTGATTAAATAAATGCAGCCTTGGTGATCATAAGAGACTTCTTTCAAAAATATAAAAAATTTTCAATTATTCAATTTTTTTTTACACAAAATAAAAACATGAAGGGCGCAAATTTTACTATTACGTTTATTATGAATTATTATAAATTATTATTATTATTATTATGGCTATTACATGCCTCACAAAGTGCATGTAACTTTACTATATTAACAATATAGCACGGCCGCATACTCAAAAGTGAACATTTTGTCATCATTTTCTAACCCTCATGTCATTTCAAACACATGACTTTCTTTCTTCTGTGAAACATAGATATTTTGAAAAATATAGATATTTATAAAATATAGATATTTTGACAAATGTTTTTGTCCATTCAATGAAAGTCAGTGGGATCATCAACAACATTGGACCCCATTGACTTCACTTTATGGAAAAAACACTGAGACCTTTTTCCAAATGTCTTCTGTTGTGTTCCATAGAAGAAAGAAGGTCATACATTGTAATTTAAATTTTGAGTTTCAGTTTGAAAATGTTGCTTTAACACTTGAAATGCATTATTTGGCAAATCTATCCATTTGTACAGTTGCTCATCTTTCTTAATGCCTCTTAATTCTCTTCTTATACATTCTATACCTTCTCTAATCATATTACATAATCAAACCGTGTAGAAATAAGAATCTCCTCCCCTTTTCTCCCCTCGCTGTCTCTCTCCTCAGCTGGTATCATGGCAGTGTGAGTCGTCAGGAGGCGGAGTCTCAGCTGCAGCACTGTAGGGAGGCCAGCTTCCTGGTGCGAGACAGCGAATCAGCTACCAGCAAATACTCCATCGCCCTCAAGTAAGTGGATGCTTGTGTATCTCTGAAATCAAGAGAACAAGAAATGAGTTAGCAGTCCTGAAAAGCTGACGTAGATGATATAAGACCCTTATTCCCCTCTCTTGACAGGACAAGTCAAGGATGCGTGCACATCATCGTAGCGCAGACTAAAGAGTGCGGCTACACACTGGAAAAGAGCAGCTGTGTGTTTCCAAGCATCCCAGAAGTGGTGCACCACTACTGTACCCAGCGCCTACCTTTCACCGGGGCAGAACACATGACCCTGCAGCACCCCGTGCCACGCACACACTAAACACACACACAAACACATACTGAACTTATACATATTCACAGCGTTCTCTGGTGCAAAGATGTGAATGTACAATACCATGGAGCCTGCCAATCACATGCCAGCAAAGCACAGCTTAAAACTCTTTGTCTAACTGTATGTATGTAGATGTGCGCATGGAAAGGAGTAAGTGAACAAGTGGAACTTGTGTTTTCGCTTCTTTGAAAACTCACTTTTTTTTTGCTCACATACGACACTAGAAAGGCCAAAGGAGGAAATGTATTTCAATGAAACTGTAGTTTAAACGCAACAGTTTACGTAATGCGTATCTGTTGCATACTTTTGTTTGTTATTTCCTCATCCCTTGTTTGAGTGCGCTGGAGCTGCGGCCTCATAAATTCATTCCCAATCATTTTACTGATCTAATTTTGTGCCTGAAGGAGTGACTTGCTTCTAAACTCCTCCTGCTGGCAGCAGCGGTAAACTGCAACAGTATCATTCCATTGTGTTACTCTCCCTGAAGAGACACACATTTTACTCCCTTAAACAAAGCATTGAAGTGGCCAAAATCTGCACAGTTGATATTTTTAGGATCCGTAGTGTAGATTTAGTTTTGAATTATAGCTGAATTCTCATATTATTTTTTCTTCTGAAAAAAAAAAACACTTTACCACACATTGGCAGTTCCTGTATAGCTGAGGTTAGATCGTTAGTTCGGATCAATACAGCAAATTGAAGCTAGCTCGTTCATCAGATAAATGAGTCATTGCCGTTGATTGGCTAATATTCTTGTCTGTACGTGATAAAACTTTCTATTGATTGGTTTGAGTTTGGGAATAGTGGGATGTCGAATGGATTTACTGACCGTGCAGTCATACTTGGATTCATGGCGTACCGAATGTAGCATCACTGTCTTGGTGATGGGAAGTTACATTTATCTGTCTTTTTGTTTAAAGGTAACAGGTTCCATTTTAATCTTAAAGGATGTTAAAATTGATTCTTGTTTAATCTATATGAGAGAAATGTGATGGGAAAAACACGTTCACTGAAGATTTTGCCTTTGTACAATGTAAGACTGTGCAAAGCCTGAAATAAAGCAGATTGTGCTAAATTTGTTAAATCTCTCAGTTTCTTTCACATTCACACATAAATGTTCCTAAAGAGAAAAGTAACATATCAGAACCACAACAGATCTATTGTGCTTAATCATTCACAATACACAAGCTATAACCATATATATATATATATATATATTACTCGCTTTATTTTTATGCAGAAACCAACTCAACATATTAGAATGATTTCTGAAGGATCATGTGACACTGAAGACTGGAGTAATGGCTGCTGAAAGTTTTGCATCACAGGAATAAATTACGTTTTATAATATTAAAATAGAGAACTGTTATTTTAAATTGAATTATTTCACAATATTACTGTTTTACTGTTTTCGAGTGAATAAATGTGACCTTTGTGAGCATTAAAGACTTTCAAAAACATTTTTGAAAATCTTACTACCCTTAAACTTTGAACAGTAGTGTACATCATCGGTGCAAGGATCTTATGATATCATGCACTAAGAATCATCAGCGGTTTACATCATCAGAGGTTTAAGTGTTTCCCAAACCTTTATTAAACATTGCCAGGGCATCTCAAATTCAAGGGAAAAAACATAAATAATAAATAATAATATTAAATAAATTAAATAATAGGACTAATGCATAAGTAAAATAGCAAATGGGATATGTTTTAAGAGCTCAACTGACAGAGCATAGTGCTAGCAATGCCATTTCCCAGGGATCACCCATACTAAAATATAAACCGGAAATGCATTGCATGTGCAGTAAGTCAGCTCTGAAAAAAACATCTGCCATATGAACAATTGTAAATGTATGTACGTACTCATCTGATCAGGTTGAGCACAAAATATATTGTCTTTGTGAATATATTCATTCTCGCCCACCTCTTTTCGCAAAGAAAATGTCTGTTTCTCGTATTTCCTAATAGCCGACTGAGACCACAGTATTCCCTAGTTATTCCTTCACATTGCATTTAAAACTGACAGGAAAAACCTATTCAGTCAAATCCGTTGCTAAATAGTGTTCTTCACGACAGCTGAAGTCAGTCAGTGTGTCAAAATCACATAAGTTAGAGAAAGCTGCCAGCAGCAAATGGCAGGAGACAGACAGGGAAGGAGAGAGGGAGGGGTAAAGGGGAGGGAGGGGTGGCATAAGCACTCGGGGGTCCCAGTCTGTAAATAATTCAGCAAGAGACTCCGAGCACTTGGAGCACTGAAGTTTCCCTGTCAGCTCAACTCTGCAGAGATAGAGAGAGGGAGGCTGAAAAGTAGTATACGAGAGAGAGAGAGAGAAAGAGAGAGAGAGAGAGAGAGAGCACAAAGGTGTAAACAGATTATGAAATCAGAAGGAACGACAGAGAACAACGATCTATCTATCTAAACTCTATTTAATTGTTTTATTATATATATATATATATATATATACACATACATTTTATTAAATATATTATTAAATATAATATATTATAAAATATATCATATCTATTATTATGCATCTACTAGTGTGTGTATCTGTACTGTAATGTCAATGTGTAATACAATGAAAATGGATTAATTCAAACTATAGTATCACATAGCCAGATCTATATAATCTCAAATATAGGCTATTTTATAATCAAACTATCATACTAGCATAATTTTAATTACTTCATCTGTTGACTTGATGCCGCTGAACTGCAGAGCTGGTGCAGACATATCCCCATTGCTATGATCAGATGCTTTCTTAACGGCTGCTTTCTCACCACTGTCATTTTTGTGTTGTGTTTATTTTGTTATTGAGAGGAATGTGCATAGCACATATTTACATATGCATATTAACGTCACTCTCAGCAGTGTGGATGTTAATATGTATTTAAGTTTTTTAATTTGAGCAATAAGTTGCTGGCATACAACCCCTTTAAATATACATTACATAAATATGCAAAAACATTACATGGTAAGGTCAAACACGGTGGAGGACGCTTTTTGCCCTTGTTGATGATGACAAATATATTATTATTACTCTTACTTTTTAAAGATCTTTTTCACATTTGCTTCCTATCATCTCTCCATTTACAAAATGTTCCAAATACTTTGTAGTAAGTCAGAATATGGAAGACATATGCCAAGAAGCTTGAGATATCCTCAGTTCTGTGTGACTCACTGCTCATAAAGAGCATAGCTGTACACTATGGTGTGAAGAGGACATGAATACCTACATAACAGTCAACCAGTGAGTCACCAGTGACCAAGCTTTTGCTTTCCTGCACATTAATTCCATCTCCCTGCTCGCTCTTTCTCTCTATTAATCCATTCTCTCTTCTCTTCCCCTTTCTTGTAATGTCTCCACATCCTTCTCTCCATCCTCCTCCCCCCATAGTGTCTTCAGGGATCTAAAGCCGAGGTCATCTATAGGGATCCCCCAAGAGAAAATGCAGAAATAGACATTTTGGCCAAAATATAATATATAAGTGTATGTGTAATGTAAGACAGAGAGAGCCATAAACATTGTGAGTGCCATGAGACGCAGAGAGAGTGAACTAGGAGACGGGGAGAGCTTGGGAGACCCCATCATCTCCCCGGAAGCGACGGTTATTTCTGGAACGCTGAGCACTGAGTTTTGACACACAGCAACTGCAGAACCACTGGTTGAAAGGCCGGAAGTGACTGACACGCAGACAAGAGTGGTTGTGATGTGGGGACAGGACTCAGTCATACGGGGATGTTACCGATGCTGACTGGTGGAGAGACGATACCCATCTCCTTGAAAAACTCACACCCAGCCACCCGCTCCCCTGGGGCAAAACAAATGAAGCGTAAGTCTCCATACAGAGCGAGCTTCACTTCCTGATGTTGGAGTAGGGTGATGCTGTCTTACAACAGCTGGATGGTTGACGGCAAAATGTGTATGTGATGTGTGAAGGTAAAGAGATTATTAGAAAAAAAATCACATGCTAAATGTTGATTATTACTGTAATAACAGTTATTAATTTCAGTTAATGACTTTATGTAGGCTACAAATCCAATACAACTTGAGAGCTGTTTTATAAATCATAGATTTTTATTATTATTATTATTATTATAAATATAATATATTATAAAATATATCATATCTATTATTATGCATCTACTAGTGTGTGTATCTGTACTGTAATGTCAATGTGTAATACAATGAAAATGGATTAATTCAAACTATAGTGTCACATAGCCAGATCTATATAATCTCAAATATAGGCTATTTTATAATCAAACTATCATACTAGCATAATTTTAATTACTTCATCTGTTGACTTGATGCCGCTGAACTGTAGAGCTGGTGCAGACATATCCCCATTGCTATGATCAGATGCTTTCTTAACGGCTGCTTTCTCACCACTGTCATTTTTGTGTTGTGTTTATTTTGTTATTGAGAGGAATGTGCACAGCACATATTTACATATGCATATTAACGTCACTCTCAGCAGTGTGGATGTTAATATGTATTTAAGTTTTTTAATTTGAGCAATAAGTTGCTGGCATACAACCCCTTTAAATATACATTACATAAATATGCAAAAACATTACATGGCAAGGTCAAACACGGTGGAGGACGCTTTTTGCCCTTGTTGATGATGACAAATATATTATTATTACTCTTACTTTTTAAAGATCTTTTTCACATTTGCTTCCTATCATCTCTCCATTTACAAAATGTTCCAAATACTTTGTAGTAAGTCAGAATATGGAAGACATATGCCAAGAAGCTTGAGATATCCTCAGTTCTGTGTGACTCACTGCTCATAAAGAGCATAGCTGTACACTATGGTGTGAAGAGGACATGAATACCTACATAACAGTCAACCAGTGAGTCACCAGTGACCAAGCTTTTGCTTTCCTGCACATTAATTCCATCTCCCTGCTCGCTCTTTCTCTCTATTAATCCATTCTCTCTTCTCTTCCCCTTTCTTGTAATGTCTCCACATCCTTCTCTCCATCCTCCTCCCCCCATAGTGTCTTCAGGGATCTAAAGCCGAGGTCATCTATAGGGATCCCCCAAGAGAAAATGCAGAAATAGACATTTTGGCCAAAATATAATATATAAGTGTATGTGTAATGTAAGACAGAGAGAGCCATAAACATTGTGAGTGCCATGAGACGCAGAGAGAGTGAACTAGGAGACGGGGAGAGCTTGGGAGACCCCATCATCTCCCCGGAAGCGACGGTTATTTCTGGAACGCTGAGCACTGAGTTTTGACACACAGCAACTGCAGAACCACTGGTTGAAAGGCCGGAAGTGACTGACACGCAGACAAGAGTGGTTGTGATGTGGGGACAGGACTCAGTCATACGGGGATGTTACCGATGCTGACTGGTGGAGAGACGATACCCATCTCCTTGAAAAACTCACACCCAGCCACCCGCTCCCCTGGGGCAAAACAAATGAAGCGTAAGTCTCCATACAGAGCGAGCTTCACTTCCTGATGTTGGAGTAGGGTGATGCTGTCTTACAACAGCTGGATGGTTGACGGCAAAATGTGTATGTGATGTGTGAAGGTAAAGAGATTATTAGAAAAAAAATCACATGCTAAATGTTGATTATTACTGTAATAACAGTTATTAATTTCAGTTAATGACTTTATGTAGGCTACAAATCCAATACAACTTGAGAGCTGTTTTATAAATCATAGATTTTTATTATTATTATTATTATTATGCACTAAGAAAACATGTATTTTAAGAACTGTTCACTAAACAAAAAACAAAACTCTCATTCAAATTCTGAACAGATTATATAAAGAATCGAGAATCGCAGCATCACACATTCTAGAATGTTCATGGTCAGTTATAATAATCATAGCCACAGTGAGTTCAGCAGCTTTGCATAATTCGCTTGCAGTGTATTTTGAGAGTGCAGGTCCACATTTCCTGTTATATCTAGACAAAAAGTTTTTATCAGTGCTTAAAGAGTAAAATGATCAAGCTGTCTTATTGATAATATTAAGAGGTATGTATATTTTGGGTTAACCAAAGAACCATCCATGGAACAATTCTTACAAGATTTTTTTTCTTAGCAGAAA